GCTGGAGCCTTGATCTTCGACTTCCCAGTCTCTAGAACTGTGAGCCAAAACATTTCTGTTCATTATGAATTACCCAGTCTCAGATATTTTGTTATAGGAGCAGAACACAAATTAAGACACATTATAAATTTACACCCCCATTTAAAAGAAGCTAAGTCTTTTTGAAAGATATTGGTGATACCAAATTTTTTTTCCCCAGTCTCTAGAATAAACTACTTTCAAAGTGTCCACTTCTTCTAAGTCTTCCCTCAGTCACCTTGTTTTGTTTCTCAGTATTTTCATTAGGTCCTGTGCTTTGCTATTTTTTTTTCTTGTTTTATTTGTTTTGACAGTTTTCTGTTTATTCTTCAAATGAGGTGACATCTATTCGGACATAGTGTCTTTTGATAAAGTGTTTGGATGGACCTGGCTTCATTCTCTGTCTACTTCTGTTCTAGTTGAACCCCCTTTTCAGCTTTACAGCTGGGTGAGTCTGATGTGCATGGCTGCTTGCCTGATTCTCACCTATGGAGCTGTTCTGGCTGAGATATGATGCTCCCCTCTGGTACCATCTGTCTCTAAAACTATAACTGACACTCATCAATGTTTCTCTTGCTTTCAAATATTTTAATTGGTGGTAAATATATATTCCAGGTTACATATATCCCAGGTTACAATTTTTTCTACCTGGGACTAGGTTGCCTGTCCATTTTCTATCCTGCTATTTTCCTAATTAGATAGTTAGAGCTATTAATAGGTATGAGGAAACAGCATTGTGGCTTCCTCAAAAAGTAACATTTTCTTTTTAGAGCAAACTATGAAACAGAGGGACTACTTTCATGTGAACAGAAAAATGATGGACCACTGTTGAGACTTTCATTCTATTGATCTTAAAATATAAATAAATATCATATATACATACTTATATTGTATAGACATATTTACATAAATAAAAATCTTTATATAGAATATGTATGTAACTCCTCCAAGAATTTTTGCTGCTGTTAATTGCCACCTGATTTTAGTATTATTCAGTTTTGTCTTTTTTGTAGTCTTTATATTTTACTGGTAGGTGAGTAGAGATTACAATACTAGAACATATGCTATTTTACACCAGAAAATTCTTGCTAATTATATTTTATACAACTAAAAAAAATTGTAAAATCTGGATTTTTCACTCTTAAAGTATTTTTTTTTCCTTTTTGTCTTTTTTCGTGACCGGCAACGGATCGCAACCCTCAG